CAAGAAGTTGCAGAAATCATGAAGAGCAGTACTGAGGCAGCACACTGAGTAGTTCGGTCACTTGGTCCTGCTCAGGACGAGAAGTCAACCTTCACCAACCGCAACGTGATTTATGAATTCATATGTGTCACTAGACCATTTATTCTTCTCAATAAACTTCTTCTGTTAGGTTTACAAGTTACGGTGACATCAGCGCATGTTAAAGGCACAGTTTGTGAAGAAAAGTTTGAAGATTCTCAAATGGTAGGAACTAATGATCGGTGGGAAGGCCTTATGGAGCATTGCTCGGTATATAACTTCCTAGATAAGTCCTAACAGGGGCTCGAAAACTGGTTCGACACTCACTGCCGATAATGATTCCCAAATAGGGACGTATGTTCGTATTCTTGAAACTACTCGTCTCCGAAATTTGATGGCCTGATTGAGCCCTACCATTACTACTACCCAATGCTATGACAGAAGGAAACGATCATTCTTCACCACTCACTCACAGAATTTGTTCACAATAATCTTTCGAATGGGCGCGAGATAGATACCCTTTCTGACGGTAAAGCTGGTGCTGGGGGATATTGATAAGGTGCTCCTTGAACTTTTATACACGTTACGCACTCTCTTATGACTTTTTTCACGAACTGTCGTCCTTTAGGCAGCCAGTACTTTGTTTGCAGTTCGGCGAGGGTTCCAGCTACTCCCTGGTGGCCACTCTTCTTATGTACGTGCATTACTATTATTTTTGTTAAAGCATGATTCGGTACGAGAAGAATAGGGTTCATTGCGTCGAAGCCTAAATGTGAATTTGCTAGCCGACCCTGACAACGGTAGATTCCGTTGTCTGATATTAATTTTAGATGTCCGAACATTTTGCGCTGTTTTTCCGAGATCCCCAAGTAATGATCGCGAAGAAGTGCTCTTTCTGCTATGGTTAAATCTTTAGCGTTTATTTCCTTAGAGTCGGAGATTTCGCATATTTCCTTGCCTAGTGAGCCTTGCTTCACTTGCGAGGTTTTGCAGTAACGGTGATTTCCGACTTTTCTGATGAATTTGAGAACGGTAGCCGCAGAGCGTTTCAATTTACTGAAGTCAGATAGTGAAAAGCGGAAAATTTGCGAGTATTCGTGTGCGTTTTCAATGCAAAGCTGTACGGTCACTTCCGCGTCGTTATATTTCATTTTGAATTTTTCGGTTTGCGTCCATGTGTTTTCGTTCTCTAGTAGAAACTTGGGACCGTGCCACCAAAAATGATTTTGGAAGTTCGTCTTATCTACCCCTCGGGTTGCGCAATCGGCGGGGTTTTCAGTACTATTTACGTAGTAAAATGAAGTATCGATATTTGCGTTATTCCATGATGTACTCAAAGAACGAATTTTCTTCACCCGATTATTAATAAATGTGCCTGCATTTTTCCCAGAATGGACCTGATGTAGAGCAATTTTGCTGTCCGAAAATATTCGTATTGAGCTGATCGGAAGATTGAGCTCTTTACGAACAAAGTCGGTTAGTTGTGACGCGATTGAAAGCGCAAGGAGTTCTAATTTCGGTATGGTGCCGGTCTTCGTACTGGTTAGTTGGCTTACGGGAGCTAGACGTATTTCGCACACAGAATGCTGGTCTCAGTTGAAAAGTCGGAAACGTGCCTGATATAAGTACATGCCGCGTATGCATTTGTGGATGCGTCCGCAAAAGTGCAAATCTCGTACACGCCGTGTTCCCGTAATATCCCCAGTTTGCGCGGAATGGTCTTCTCGAATTCTTCTGTATTTCTTGCTATCTCATTCCACACTTTGACTTCCGAGTCTGCGAGGGGTTGATCCCATTCGTAGTTTTTCAACCACAAACTCTGTAAGAAAATACGAGCAGGTATTAAAAGAGGAATGAGAAGACCCAAAGGATCAAATTTTGAATGAACTATTCTCAAAATGTTACGCTTTGTTAGTGTCTTATAGGGTGGTAGTTGCGACTTTAGTACCAAAATGTCATTGGATGTATCCCACGGAACTCCTAGTACTTTTTGACGATTTTACGAATTTCCGATATTAGCGTGTCCATCCATACTCCACACGTTACTATCATCACATTCTTTAGAGAGTAATTTCAGCTGAATACTGGGTGGAAACTTTCGTCGTACTTTGGCTTTATATTCGAGTGCGTCGTGAACATACTCCATGAAGGCATTGTGATAGAGGGTTTTATCCGCCGATGCACCATGTTCGTACTCGTTTGGAGTTCCACTTGAAGATGGTTCTGCCTTCTCATCAAAGCGAACATGGAGCACAATCAGATTTATTGACGAAAGAGACATTCAACGGGAACATGAATGACAAGATTCGCCTATACGTGAATCACCCCCTTTTATCCTGCATCGTATGCTCCGCCCTCTAGTGCTGTTCATCGTGATCACGGTCACGACAGGTGCCTTTGCTTGGAGACTTAATTGGCATGCTTACCCCATTACTTTCCCAATCATTAGGAGCTGCAACTTTGAGGTCGTCGAAATTGCACAGCCTAGAAGAGTTCTTCCCCGAGTCCAATCTAAGATTGGAAAAAGCACAAGACCTCGTTCATATGAGGTGAAGGCTCCGGGACATTCCGTAGAAAAAGGCAGTGAGTGAAATTATGGCAGTAATAAGTTGATGTACTGCCAGAGGC